CACGGCCTTGACAATTTGAAATTCATTATCACAATGAATATTACAGTTTTGGATTATAAGAAATAAGACCTATTTCTAAACATCGATAAAAGACCATCACCGATCTTCCCTTTTAAACCTGCTCTTCCGATAGAGCAACATCGCCGATCAGCATCCGCTTTCTTACTGCAATACCACTACTAGAAAGATAACCTTGAGAATAATATAGAGATTTTTTCTCTCTAGAAGTGGAAGTTATCCAACCTAAAACTAATGGAAATCTCGCCTCTCTCTCGGAGGCCATGTCTCTCTCTCTTGGAGATCCATCTCCATATTAGAGATCCATTCCCATACCCCAAAAGGGTGACCCTCAAAGGATGAATATTATGTCCACCTTCACTCTCTTATAAAGATATCACTTTCTCACTTCTCAAGAACGTCAATTTTTTATTTCTTAGAATACCCTAATTTTTAGAATAAAAATATGGATATGGTGATTTAGCTATCAACAAACCAAACACCCCATCCTTCTTTCAAGATAGATAACCAACTCTACAATGTATGTTTAATATTGAATAATGCGCACATCAATTTCTATAACTCCCCATCCTTCGTCCTCCCTGTCTTTCTCACAACCTCTCTTGAACTCTCATATTTCTCTATCATCTCGTGAACCTCACAAATAGGTTAAATGAGGCGTATCAAATTCCATTTATATGACAAAGTTAGCCTCTCAAATAGATGTGTGGAGTTAGGGGTATCAAGACTTCAAGTCTTTGTTGGGATATCAGCTTGATGTGGCTCCCAATGCTTATCCTTTCAGTGATTTTTTTTCTTTTAATTTTTATCTGTAATGAAAAATATTTTCTATCTTAATATTTGTTTCATAGAATATAACGATATGTAGCCTATGTTGTTTTTTGTTTTACCTTTTTTATTTATCTGATTTTAGAGGTTTTCTCTATATATCTATTTTCTTTTCAAAGCCAATTTTAGGCTCAAACAAATTCTCACAAAGCTCGAAAAAAAAAATTTTAAACTTTGAGCTTGGTCAATACAATAAATGTTGTCACCCAATTTTACCTTCAATAGTCAAGATCGATCGTGACCACCTTGTACCAAAGATAAATAATTTCATTATATACTTTCCCATATACCTATCTATCAAATTATGGTATTTGGAAAATGATTACTAGATGAAGATCTTCTAGACCATCTTTATAAATGAACCAGGTCCATGTGCTGCCTATATTTCAATGCCTTGACTTTTGTCCTATTCAGATATCACATCATGTCTATCCATTTTACACCCAAATTCAAGTCAAACCATTTCACCCGATCCTATCTCAAACTTAGCATTTATCACGCCATTTTCATCCCAAGAAAGAGTAATTTTTTTTTTTTTTCCTTCTGAATTTACTCATCGTCCATTTTTTTTTAAGTAAAAAAGTGGTAGAATTGCTAATAAGTTTCCTTATTTTTCATTAATTCAAACTATTTTTTAATTTTACGTAGTGTAAGAATGGTAAAAGTAACGAGCAAAGAACAAGAAGTAACCCCTAAATTTGGAGGAATGAATACCATATCGTGTATTACCGTCCCACGTAACATTGTTCTCATCATGGACGGTTGAGATTGAGCCCAGCTCCCTGCGATATACATTTCCTACTCAAAGTCAATCTCCACGTTATATAGATGCCCTAGTAGCAAATAGCAAATAATCAAGATTTATGGAAAATTTTGGCAAAGTCTTACGTTACCGGTCTACTTAACACAACCCACCTTCTTTATCGAGGTTTGGGATGGGCTAACAAAAGTTTATGGGCCTCACCCTTCTTACCAAGTAAATAACAACCATTCTCTCTATAAATATACTATGCCAAAAGATATTCTACTCCAATGTCTATTTACTCCCTCGAGTAAAACCCCACCTAGAAAAAATTCTAGGACCCCAAATTTTAGGGATGTAACATCTTCAACCAATAGGAAACCTCAATGAAAAAAATTTCTTAATTGTACTTGAGATTGAATAGAGACCTTCCAATTAGATAGTGAGATCAAAGTGTTAAAAAACTCAATTTTTTTTTTTTTTTGAAAAAAATTTTAAAAAAAAGTATCCAAAATTTTAGATTGAAAAAATATTTCCAAATAGGTCTTCATGTGAGGGAGCAGAAGTAAGTATGGCCCCGAAGGAGCATAGTATACATGATCACATATTATTTGAAAGGGGAAATTTTGTCTTTATTTTATTGTTAATAAAGACCTCTAAGTCTTGATTTGAACACGATAGCAATAAAACACATTCATGAGGTAATAAATCCCTAAAACACTTTCTACACTAGTGGAGCAACCCACGAAAAATCGCAGTTACTACAAATTCAGCCGAAATTCACTGAAATATTGGAGTTTCGTAGGTCATTTGATAGCAACGGGGATGAAACTTTTATAATTATCCAATTGGTCATTGTCAATATAAGAAGGTAGCAAGGGTAGACAAGTTAAGCCCTACAAATTACACTAAATTATTAAATAAATTAATATTATTTATAATAAAACATTCAAATAATAGAAAAGAAAAAGGTAAGGCAGCGGTAGTCAACCTTTTGAAAGCGCGTTATAACTTGAAGGAGACGAAACCAATCGCCATCAGTGACGCCGCTTCCCTCCACGCAACGTCTTAACGGTGTGCGTTTAAATTTTAAACAGAATAGGAGTTAAGGAGAACCGTCGGATCGGATTACTCCGGGGGTGGGGCTCATCAGGACGGTTCAGATGGTACCAACCGAATGTACTCTGTTTATGGCAACCGTCAAATGGGAAGTCGAAGATCCGGATATCTAACAAGGGAATTCCTCGCATAAATTATAAAATTCAAAAAAAAAGTCTAAATTCCATTCTTACTAACACATTCGAAAATCATTAACTATTTTTAAAAATAGGTAGGAGCATATATTCTTTATTGATCTACTAAAAAAAACAACATTCAAGAAAAGCGGTGCAGAGAGAAAAATGTGGGGTGCTAATTTGCAAAAACAGGAGGGTCGACCCAAACTGGCCGAAGTTAATTTGAGTATAAATATATTTAGTTGGTGGTCAAGTTTGGTATCTTAAAAAATTTAGAAAAAAATTATTTGTAATGTGCTTTTTATTATTTTGGTAAAGATTGAAAAGTGTTTGGGCGATAAATACTTATTTTTATATTTTTCCTTCGTTTTTGGATTATTTTTAAATTACCTCTATCACAAATTGAATTTTCAAAATCTATTTTTAACTATTTTTTTAACCTCATTTAAATATGTTTTGTCTAATTTTTAATTTAAATATATTTTTCAATTTTTTTGGGATTTTTTATTTTTTATTGTTTTAATACTTTTTAGCCTGGTCGGTACTTGCTCAACCCGGTCCCAGTTACTTAGCCCGGTCCAAGGCCAGGTACTGAGACTTGGTTCCCTACACTGCTCCAAGAGCATGTTTGTTTCCCAGTAGAAACTCTTTGATAAAGTTCTTTCATATTGGATTTTTACTTTCATGTTAATTATTTACACCAAAATTACACGTTCTGATAACATTGACATGAGCCTTAATTAGATTGTTTAAAGTTATAACCTTATAGAAACCACGTCCTATTCCAAATAGCAAATGAGAAAGTTTTTTTTTCTCATCTTTGAGCAACGTACAATATACTTTTTTACAATCTTTGAACAACGTACAATATACTTTTGTAAAAAAGTGGCTTTATGCTTATGGGAAAGTATGGAATTATACTATTTACCTTTTAAACAAGGTCGTTATATTAATTTTGGTAATTGGATGTGAGATTAGGTGGATATGATTATTCTATTGATCAAGTTCAAATTTCAAAATAAATTTTTTTAAACTTTATATCACGTCCAAACTATCAAATTTCACAATAGATGATTGTAAGTAATTGTGATCCAAAATAAATAATTTCACTGTATACAATTCCCATACTTATATAAGTATTAATTGCTAGGCTCCAGGAAACCCTATGATGAATAACCTTTCTTCCCTATACTTATATAAGTATTAATTGCTAGGCTCCAGGAAACCCTCTGATGAATAACCTTTCTCTAAAAGTGCTCCAATAAAAAAGGAACATGCACTAGTAAACGAGAAAGAAGGGTTCTAGAGAGAGAGAGCGAAAAGGTCGATGGTGATGTTTACAAGATTTTATGACTTTTTTTTCGGAAGATTTTAGAGTGATTTACGTACTAATTTTAAAAAATATAAAAATGTTTCATTTATAAGTAAAAATTACAAAGAACATCGATTAATCAATTTTTTTTTATTTGTTTCAAAATTACTTTTCAGTTTAATGATGGAATTCTCAATCCACATGTTAACCGGCTTTTTTCATAACTTCCACTTAAAAATAGAGTAATTTACATTAAAAAAAAAAATTTAAGGTCAAATCACTCTTTGTACTTTACTGTAAATCACTCTTTGTACTTTCTCCACCGATTTCAGAGCATGATAAAAACCTAAAATAAATTTCGGGTGAAATTTGTCAAAAAAAAAGAAAAAGAAAAAATTGATTGAAAATCTTTGCACAAATGTGTTCCAAGTTCCAACATTGAACACAACCCACTTCTTTTTGAGTTTTTAAATTGAGGTCATGCTTACAACTTTGGACCAAAAATTTTGTTTTGTTGTGCTTGTCTTTTATTTCTTATTTTTTTTTCGAGCTTTAATCGAAATAAATTAAAATAAATCGTAAGGGAGAACAATAATCAAACCTTCACCACAACCTTATCCCTAAAAATAATCGTCTTCAACTCTTAACCGCGGGTGTATTTTGAATGTCAACGGTCAGTGAGTGCAGGCGGTGTGCCTTAAATAGCGCAGCACAAGAAGCAAGAGATGAAGAGAGAGAGAAGGTGGTCCAGGTAGAGAGAGAAAGAAGAGAGAGAAACTTGTCCAGGGAGGTAGAGAGAAGCTCGTCCAGAGAGTTAGAGAGAGAAAGTAGAGAGAGTGGCTGGTCCAGGTTGGTAGAGAGAGAACGTTGTGCAGGGTAGAGAGAGAAAGAGAAAGGAAGAAACCTCGTCAGTTTCTTTACCTCCCTGAATGGTCCACCTTGTGTAGCGGGACGCCTAGAGAGAGAAACAGTTAAAAAAAGAAAGCCCCCATTATAAGGTCGCCATTAAAGTTCAAACCAACCCCACCTAAAACCATCTCCTCTTCTTGTCTCACCGCGCTTTCCAGAAATCTCTCCCTCTAAAATCCTTCTCTTTTGCGCTCCCTGTGTTTCACAACACAGTTTCTCTCTCCTCTTCATCCTCTTCCTCTTTCGTACCCCTTTTATCCCTACATAGTACCCTCTGTCTTTTTCTCCATATTCTATTTCCTTAAATTTCAAGAACCCAATCTCTCTCTCCTCCAAAAACTAACACAAAAACCAGATTTTCATTCATCATTGGTTTCCTTCACCTCACCCCAAAAGCCAGCCATTTTTGAACCATCAAAACCAGCCATATTTGAACCTTCAAAACCTTCTCCTTCACCATTGTTGGACCATCAAAACCTTTTTCTTCAACCTTAATTAACCCCATCAGAACCATTTCCATCTTCTTCCTCTCCCTCCAAAGTTTATTTCCTGTTGTTTCATTTTCTCAATCCAAAAGGGTGCAATGAATTCTCATTTTGATGATCACCAAATGAGGAGAGAGATCCAAGGCCCAAGGCCAACCCCACTACGAATCAGCAGAGACTCTCATCTCATCCATAAGAACTCTTCTTCTTCTCAAAATGGTGCACCATGTGGGAAGCGTCAACGAGATCCGATCATCATCTACACGGAGTCTCCGAAGATAATTCACACACAAGCTCACGATTTCATGGCTCTTGTTCAGAGGCTCACTGGCCTCTCCAGGTCTAAACAAGAAAATGAAACTCCTGGTGACGCTTCAGTAACGACTTCTCTCACTACAACCGCCTCAACTTCTTCTTCTCAAGCTGCAAGTACTGGAAATTCTCTCTGTCAGGCAATGGGAGATGTGAATTCGAGCGAAAGATGTAAAGGATTCGTGCCGAATACTTCATCATTTCGGTTTTCTCAAGCAAACGAGAATGAGAATCAATCAGGCTTTGACTCCCCACTTTTCACACCGAATTCGACCGACTTCTTTTGCTCCCCCCGCCAATTTTATCGGTTTTCTGATAACTTGTATTCACCTCCAAAGTTTTCTCCAAATTTGGGGAGCTCTATCTCTCCTACTGTTTTAGAGGTGATCAAGGCTTTTCCTGAGTACTGATGTTTTGGCCTTGGATTTCTTTGTGTATGGTGATTAAGGCATTCTTTTGCTTAGAGAAGGTGCTCCAAACTCCGATTAGAATGTGTGCACCAATATGTGAATTATGATTCATTCATATGGTTGATTTGTTGTGTAAAAGATATGTGAATTATGATTCATTCATATGGTTGATTTGTTGTGTAAAAGATATGTGAATTATGATTCATTCATATGGTGGATTTGTTGTGTATAAGATCTTGTGTGTCTGGTTCTTGTTCTTCATGAAGGATTCTAAATTCATGGCTTGAGATGCATCACAATTGTGAATGAGATATTTCATGAGGATTTAGTATTTCTTAGGATTTCATATATTGAAGGAAAGAAATGTGAATTACTCTGCTTCTTATTATATTTCCCATAGTTAGAAAATGGTTTGATAGGGCTGCAGCCTATCAAAATGAGTAAAGCCTCACCGCATAACTCACCCAAAATTAGCATAACTCACCCAAAATTACAATTCAAGCATCGGGAAATAGCTTAAATGTTATGTTTGTGAAAAAACATTAGGATTTTAAGCTTTAAAAATAATACATATTGTAACAAATTATTTAGACCATTTATTTAGTCCTAAAAATAAGTGTTCACATATCTTGACTATTGTTTTTATCTCAAATTTTATTGTTGATGTTGGAAATTGGTTCTAAAGTCATAATAAGGATTTTTTTATGCCAAAAATCCTTTTTAAAAGAAAATTTAATAGTTTATTTTATTTTCGTAAAACCTAGGCCTAAACCTTATCCCCACCAAGGCCATGGTCAAATTTCAAAGTCCAAACCACCCTACATTGCCCATCAAAACCATCTATTCTTATTCTTCTTCTCTCTTCTCCTCTCAAAACCCAGCCCTCTCAACCCCAACCCCAACCCCATTCTTACCATTCACACCAAAGAGGATCCACCAAAGAGCCACCTTTTTATCCCATTCTAGCCCATCCTAAAAGGAGTGGAGCTTTGTACTTGATATTTAGGACCATTGGCTATGCGGTCTCGGCAGCTCTATCAAATATCAGTTTGCCTTTGAGTTAGTTACGTGTGGATGTTAAATAAGTTAAAAAAATACAAATTGCTCTCTTTATACCTAAAAATTACGATCAATATCGATCAACGCGATCTATATTTTTTATAAAATTACCCCCTGGGTTCGAGGATGCTATCCTCGGACTATTTTTTTCCATTCAAAACTTAAAAGTTGCGGTTCGAGGATGGCATTCTCAGACCGCTTTCTTTTTAAAGCTTAAGTTTCGGTCCAAGGTTGAAAAAAGTTTTGAAAAAAATTTGTCCAAGGATGCCAACTTAAGTTTTTTATAAAAGAAAAAAAAAACGGTTCGAGAATGCGATCCTCGGATAGCAACTTTAAGTTTTGAAAAAAACAAAAAATAAAGAAGCGGTCCAGGGAAGCCATCCCTAGACCGTTTTTTTTTCAAAACTTAAAAGTGGTCCAATGATAGCATCCCTGGACCGCGTGTTTTTTTTTTTTCAAAACTTAAAAGCGATCCAGGGATGCCATCCCCAAACTGCTATTTTTTTTTTCAAAACTTAAAGTTGTTGTCTGAGGATGGCATTCTCGAACCGAAACTTAAGCTTTGAAAAAAAAAAGTAGTCTGGGGATGGCATTCTCGGATCGAAACTTAAGTTTTGAAAGAGAAAAGCAGTCCGAGAATGCCATCCTTTGACCGCAACTTACGTTTTGATCCAAAAAAAGTGGTCCGAGGATGGCATTCTCAGACCAAGAGGTAATTCTATCAAAAAAAAAGTCGCGTTGACTGACCTTGATTTTAATTTTCGGCTATAAAAAGAGCAAGTCATATTTTTGTAACTTATTTAAGGTCCATATGTAATTAACTCTTTGCCTTTTAAGCTGGTACACTGCCCATAGTTAAAAGGATAGAACTAAGGTAAAATTATATTTGTTCGATAAATAAAATAAGGAATTAAGGCCTAGAGTTTTGTAAATTTTATAAGAGAGGTTCATTTGTTTTTTTACTCTTCTATCCGATGTTCCAAATATCGTACAACTTTTTTTCTTTTTTTTTTAATTTCTTTAAAGTGCAGAGACTAGTCTAAGTATGGATCCTAAGACAAGGTTTGGATCCTAGGATTGCTTGGTTTCTATAAAAACTGTGCAAGCCAAGTGGTTTGACATTCGAGGTTTGGAACCTCAAACCAGTAAGTCTAGGGATCTTTTTTAGGTTCTAGACCTTGAGCGGCTTGGCTTACGTAAACATTGTGTAAACCAAGTTGTCTGAGGTTCCAGAAGACATCAAATCGATACCTAGGCTTTGAATTTCTCAATCCAAGGACTGATCCCGATTCCATACGTCGGGCTGCTTGGCTTCTATAATTTTTACCTAATAAGAGAAGCGGTCGAAGGTATAGAACCTCGAACTGGGCCCTACAACTCAAAATAAAAAAAAAGGAGCAGTATGTTTGAAATATTAGATCGGGTCTTCCTTGTAAATTTTAATAATATTGGACCTCCGCTTAATTACTATATTTAAATATGGTACACATGTAAATTTCCCTAAAACTAATGACTAAGGCGCTGATTTTTTCTTTGTTGGGAGAATATTGTTTACGTATTAAAATTAGGACTTAAAATTATTAAGGAGATCAAAAGATCGCACTTAATATTACAAGGTTTAGTTTTAAATTTTAATTTCGTTCACGTCCTTAGAAAATATCTTCAAGAATTTTATCAAATTACTTCTATTATCTTGTAAAATGAAATTTGATCAATTTGACCCACCAAAACAAGTAAGATTCCTTTGGTCATTTGATTGAGGCATCTTTGTTCGGTCAAATTACTCACACAAAAACAAGGTGGGTCAAATTATTGAAATTCTTTTGCTTGTATTGGGTTCTCAATTTTGAAAGGGAACAAACTGGTATTTCTTCATGAAATAATTGTGAAATGGAAATTAAAAACTAAAGAGAAAAGTTTATATAAAGCTAAGGCTATAAACAATCAAATTAGAGCCCACCCCAAAAGTTTCACTAGAAGAGGTTGTTTTGATGCCTAAACATCCCTCATATTCATCATCTCAACATCAAGATGCGTGAACATGATAAAAAAAAATAGATTTCAAATTTTGAAAATAGTGCATCTTGTAACTCATTTTTGGAATGTCAAGTTTCAAGATTTTTAAGTTTTCATAGATCTGCTCGATATACACTATTTTTTAGCTCTAAAATTTATAATTAAAGATGAATATATATTTTAAGGCTATCACAAACATTTTCAATATTGAAACTACAATTCTCGATACTATTTGAAGGTAGGCTCTAATTTGATTGTTTAGAGCCTCGGCTCTATATAAATCGCACCCAAAACTAAATCTTTTTTTTTTTTGTGCCATTAAGATAATGAAGTTTCAAGAGAAAGGAAAAGAAAAAAGCCAAAAGACGAGAAGAAAAACAAGGGCAGCTAAGGAGTAGAAGCCACAACAGCCAGGGAGTCTGCCACCGAGTTAGCACAAATGCGAATAAGACTAAAAGAAGTATCTCGATTCCTAAACGCCCATAGAATTTCAAAACTAAATCCTCTACTGTTAAAATTTAGATGTATTGACCCAACTAAATGCTCTAACGTTAAAATTTAGATGTATGGACCCGCTTAATGATTTTGTTAGGGATTTTGAATTTTAGCATATTTTCCTCATGGTTTGACTTTTGGGTAAAGAGTTGCTTCAAGAGAGTACGCAAAGTATTTCAGTAGTTATTAGCGTGTTCCTACCTGCAACATTTTTCAGCTCATCTACCCTGGATGTCTTGGGGCTCAATGATCGTATGCAAGGTTTAAAAAATTTGTGATTTGGATAGGAACTGGTCGATTTAGATTGGGAATCGGTGGAGCCAATCCAAATCTCATAAAATATTGGAAATTAGTTGGTTCCCCTTAACGAACCGGCCGGTTAGTACCGATTCTCACACAACTGTTATGTTAGAGTAGCAATACGAAATACGAATTGGCCCCACCTTCTCTTATAAGCACTAAACCAGCAAGAACCCGCCCCACTTAATTTTAAAAAAAAATTTAACTATTGAGTCATTAGAGGGGTTCACCAACCTTGATTGCCGATCACCGAATTGGATCGAAAATCCAGAGGGATTATCCAAGTCGCCAATCCATTTTTTAAAAATCTTGATCGTATGCGAACAATAGAATATGCACACCTTTGCGAAATAAATCAAGGACATGTTGCTGCCTCCTGTTAGCGGAATGATTTCATGCAAAAAGTTCTTGATTTCATGCAATGGTTGTATAGAAATATAATGCAACAATCTTCAAAAACCATGTTAGTGCCATTTGTTTTATCCCATTTTTCAATGTACACTCTTTTCATTCCATTGAACAATCACAAAAAAATACAAAATTTGAAAATGCACCTTAGAAAGTGTTATTTTTGCCTAATCAACATAAGCTGTCCATTTTGTTAAGCTGCTTAGATCTAGGCCTTAGAAGGATTTTTCTCTTTTGTAAAATTTTTAATAGCTTTGTTATCATTAGATGAACAACGTAGAAAATGAAAAAAAATGGTTTTGAGCTCGTAAAGACCTAGATATTAAAATTCATAAAATGGAAGGTCTAGATTCAATGTTGGAGGGGACTCATTTTAGCCCTATCTATGATGCAAATTGAATTTTATTTTTCTCTATATATATATATAGGGCAAGCTTTCTATGCTTCCCCTATAGCATAGAAGTTCTATCC